AGAGAGAAGCACGAAAAGCGTGAAATACGTATGTTAGAAATTGCAACGCGGCAAGCCACAGCTGTGTCCGTCACTGGGGTTGCTAGGGAACGCGGTGCTGTATCTAACATTTGAACAAGATCTCAAGAGTTTTCCATGGTGGCATATTATGTCGATAGATGACATTGAAGATAAAGTTAACTTTTTAACAGATAGTATTTGATGTTTATTTAATGTCCAAAAAAGGTAGTGCGTGTAAACAAAGCTCTAGCTCCTTGGTTGGATGATAATATTAAACTTGTATTCAAGCAGAGGGCTGAAGCTTTGTAAAAGTTCAAACGTGATCGTACAGCCGCGTCTTGGCAACAGTATACGTATTTCAGAAATCGTGCATTAACGCTCGTGCGGAGAGGAAAAATAGATTATTTACAAGCTGTTCAAAATCAGGATATAAAAAAGTTTTATAAGACTTTCAAAGTACAATCTCAGAAAGATTCTACAATTCCCGTGAGCTTGTCAGATCCGTACAAAATAAAAAAAATTCGAGAATAGTGATTCGGCTTGTGCTGATAAAATTGCATATTACCGAGCTAATAAAAATAACTCAAAATTCAAATTTCAATTTAATAAAGTGACTATTGACACCGTTGTTAAAATTATACATAAAATAAAATCAAATTCTAGTGGTACAGATGGAATAACTTTGCATATGATACTACTATGTATACCTGAAATTGATGTGTACTTAACGCATATTATAAACTGCTGTTTAGAGAGGGGATATTTCCCCAATCAGTGTATAGTTATTCCGCTACCTAAGTGTTCTGATCCTACTAACTATGGTCAACTGAGACCGATCAGTCTACTGCCAATTTTTTCTAAAGTATTGGAACGCGTTGTTTCCGAGCAGCTCTGCGCCTACTTATATTCTAACAAAATTATTCCATCTAAACAATCTGGATTTCGACAAGGTCATAATACAGCTACGGCACTCTGTGATTTAACAGACAATATAACAATGGCACTTGATAACCAAAAAGCAGTAGCTCTCATACTTCTTGACGTTACTAAAGCATTTGACATCATTAATCACCCACTTCTTGTATCTAAATGCAGTTATTATGGATTTTCTGGCAAACCTCTTTTGTTTATTCAAACTTACCTTGAAAATTGGTATCTAAAAGTTCGTCTAAATCAACAGTACTCGACCGAACAAAAAATTTGTTCTGGTGTACCACACGGATCAGTCTTAGGAGCCCTATTATTTTCATTATATGTCTCAGATTTAGAAACAGAGGTAAAATCATGCAGCATACAATTTTTTGCAGACGATACTCAAATTTTCTGTTCATTTAGGAGTAATGACTTGGAAACAGCAAATAATAAAATTAATCAAGATCTTTCCCAAATTGAAAAGTTCAGTAGTAGTCATAATCTTCGTTTGAACCCTTTGAAGACAAATATGTTGGTGTACGCAAATAGAACAAAAAATAATATCTTAAAAAAGGACATATACATACATTTAAAAGGTAATACAGTAATTCCTGTGGATCATTTGAAAAACCTAGGTATTATAATGGATGATGTGCTACGCTATTCTCACACATTTAGACCGCATTTCAAAAGAAACCAATCCATTATTCAAATTCAAGAAAGAAGTGAAAGAAGTTCTACTTGATCAGCAGCGAAATCTGTTGTGAGCCATAAGTGTCCTCATATTTTCCTTACGTCTTTACTTGGATTATACTTTATTCTGTCGTTATTGTATACAGGTACCTATTAATTTTCAACAAATTCTTTTTTTTACATCTCGTATTCTTAAGGGGATGGTAGAATAGATATATAATCTAAATCTCGCCTCCTGTAAGAATATTACAAATAAAAGACGTTAATTATTATTATTTGTATAACACGCTTCTCGCGCTCCTCTCTCGTACACTTTACGACGTTAATGATATATGAATTACACTGTAGATAACCATCTAAGATGGAGTACAGCTCGTAAAGCCTAGGAATAATTTCAATGATGGAATACGTACTATTTGAAGCCTGCTTGTTTTAATCGAAATTGTTGGCATGTGTCAAATTTTCAAATATCTTTTTGTGAGCCCAATATTCTAAATTTGGTAACTTCATTAACTTTACAAGACTAACTTCTGTCATTGTCAGTGTTAGATCATCAATTCCACGGGCAACCGATCTTAAGCTGTAGCTATCTATTGCCTGTAGTATTTTATGTGGCCTGAAAGTTCGGACACGGAGTCTGAGCTACTACTTAAACTTAAATCTTTGGTTTCGCTATCGCTATCTTCGTCTAGGTTTATTATTATTTGATCCACAACTAAGTCGAGTGCTGGTTCCATTTCCATATATTGCTTCTCAAAATCTTTGGCATGCTCACATCGCTTTTTCCATTCTTCTGTGGGATAAGACTGGAAAAAGTCGTTGCAAAGTTTGTCGACAGTCTTGAGATTAAAATCTACATTTCTCTCAGCAACATATTGTTTCAAAGATGCCCATCCAACTCAATTGGGTTGATATGGTGATATGGTGACAATCTCAAAACAGAATGAACTTTTTCAGCCATTATTCTGTCTATTTCATAAGTTATACAGGGTGACTTTGAAGTTGAGTCATTAATTTTCAGATAATGATTGTAGAAGGAAGATAAACCAAAATATGTGTGTAAAAATAAAAAAAAAATAAAAAAAAAGTTACCTTGTTTTATAAAGTATCCTCCTGACAAGTATTTCAGTGCGGACCTGTATTTGATCGTGCGGTCTTGGAGTACCGGCATGCCCTCCCCTGTGAGGTCTTAAGTCACCTGATTCACGAGCCCTTTGTACTACATTCAGCATTTTCGTAAACATGTGCCATTTTTTATTTCGTTTGAGCCACGCAACAAACACCACTATTCACTCACGCGTTACCGACTGACACATCGACTAAATACAACTGAATAAAATTGTACATTGTAGTAAAAACATCGTTTCAAATTCTTTCGCTTTTTTGTTTCCGATGCGATGAACGGATAAGGCGGATTATATCCGTTGTTGCCAAACACGAGCACATAATATTATTATTGAGACAGGGCGGTACTCAAACTTCTAAAGGGCTATAACTTTGTTACTTTAATTTTACCAGAAAAATCTTAAAGGAAAAAAACATTTCTTTTGATCAGATCTACTCACTGTTAAAATAAATGACTCAACTTCGAAGTCAATCTGTATATGCCGACTTAAGCATTGTGATGAGGCTATACAAATCAATTTCGATAAAAGACTGCGTATGTGCCAGGAAAGTCGTGGAGATCATTTGCCCGATGTGACATTCCATACATAACCCTATCCTAAGTCTGAAGACTTAAAACTGCGTTTTCTATTTAATTCAAAACTTGCGTTAATTTTCGGACACCGTGCACTTATCTCCAGACTAAATAAACTTTTGACTAGCATATTTATAAAAAAATTGTATTCTCATAATTCAAGTTCAGTTACAACCCAAGCACACGTACTTGGGTATCTTATGTTTATTGGACTCTACCGTTATTATTTATACTAAAACATTGTAGTTAACCCAATAAACATTATTATTATTAATACGTTGTGGGGATCAAAATAAATGACAAACATGAACTGAAAGTGAAACACGCCTAGTTATTTGAAATAGTGTGCCTCCTTGGACAATTCTGAAACGATTTTGTTCTTCCCTAGTTTTCGTTCAGATGTCACACAACGAACAAATTGTTCTAAAATAACTTTTATCGATATTAACATTCAGGCATAAGACCGTGAGACGGGTCGCTCGATATCAACGAAGTGCTTGTATTGAAGGTGTGTGCTCCAGTTCTTTCGCATCTCATCCAGGTATCTTACGAATCCAGTACTTTCCCAGAAAACTGACAATTTGATCGTGTTCAACCCATCCCAAAAAAAGTATCTAAGACTACAGGCCAATAGCTCTGCTTTCTTTTATAAGTAAGGTGTGAAGAGATGCATAAATCGGGAGCTTCTGGACTACCTTGAACGTCACGGCTTGATTAGCGACAGGCGGTATGATTTCCGGCACCATCGATCCATAGGGGACCTCCTAGCTTACGTCACGCAATTGTGGAGTTATCTCATCCAGTCTTAAGGTCAGGCTCATATTGCTGCTCTTGACGCCCTCTAATGCAAACTTACATCCTATGACCTCCCAAAGAAGCTTTGCAGATGGGTGGCTGACCTCTCTAGCCGCAAGATATCCGGCGTAATAGACGGGTTCTCCTCTTCATCCCATAACGTCAACGCTGGTGTTCCCCAGCGATCGGTCTTCACATCCACAGCTTTTTGAATTGTCTCTCCCAGGAGTCTCAGGTAGGGTAGTGACAGTGTTATCTTCATAAAAATGCTTAGTAATTGCTGTCATATCAATCACCATCAATCATGCTTCGAGAAGGACCCAAATCCTTTTTTTCCGTTGATGGAGGTTGTGCCATAGTCGCAACTTTGTGTCCGGGCTCAAATAAAAAATAGATTTTTATAGCTAAATCAGGTGATCTATGAAGCATTGCTCGATTCAATATGGCTTCCCAGAGAAGCTTTGCAGATAGGTGGCTGATTTCCTCCGTCGTAATTGTCTTCAACTTCATTCCCCAACCAACCCGGGTGTTCCCCAGAGATCGGTTTTGACTCCGATATTGTTCCTCTTACATATTAACGACTTTCTTTCCTACAGATTTGCTAATGACAGCACTCTACATGCAGGAATTCAGAGTGACAAGCCGACCTCCGAATATGAGCTAGACAAAAGAAGACTAGCAGCGACTTCTTCGCTAATGAGAGACATAGAGGTTGTCACTGCTCAGGAACGATTCAATCTTATACAGTTTAATGCTTGAAAAACACAGTACTGTATCTTGACGAACAAGAAAAAAGGGGATTTGAGGACAATTATAAGTGTATTCAAGCTTTGTTTGAGTTTATTTATTGTTTCTCGAACACTGAATCATATATATTTTTACAATAAATATTTAAATATGACTAGATTTCCATAAAATTGATTATTGTGTTTTTAAAAGTATCCTTCATTGCAATGAAAAATAAGACAGAACGCTACTTTTGACTCATGTGCAGCTTTTTAATTTCAAATAATCCAAAATATAGCAGGCAATTTGGCTAAAAATTGTAAATTATATTTTCCTATCCTCTCAAAACAAAACAACTTTCGTGTATTCCAATATTTATCCAGCTTGAATGATACACTCTAATAATAATTTATTGTTATAATAACCCTGTAAATATTGAAATTTTGATTATATACACATATAGTTAACTTGAGAAGTTTAGTTGTCGTCCTGGATAGCCACCACTTCTAAAGCAGGGCTGCCAACAGATTCGACGTCAGACGAACTGAACGAACTACCATTATGTTCTTCTCTACTTTCGCTATGCGACTTAGGACTCATATAATTAACCGCCAACTCTAAGCCAATCAGCGTCTTAAGGTCATTCACTTTCTTTTCTTTCTCTTCTTCTGACATTTCTTTCACCTTTTCATGGAGATCTTTAACTCTGTAAACAAAATTGTCAATTGTAACAAACAATAATCTGTATCATACACTATATCCAAATCATAAGCTGTTTCTCTTGCCTTTAAAAAGTATTTTATGTTTTAATATGTTACACACCATTTTTACAGGAATTGTTAATCTAAAGGACACTTACACTTATATTTAGGTCATAGAAAAAAAAATATAAAAAAGCCTAGATTTTTTATCAAATAGGAGTACCCAGCATGTCTAGCTGCATCATTACGATAACAATTTTATAGAAATTACCTGTTATCATCTGTGACTCTATCAATTATTCCTTTATATATCGAAGTGATATTCGACATAACATAATTGGTGCTAGTCTTGTTGCTGCTTTTATCGAATCCCATCGATTTTACATCAAATTTTGTGGGCTTTGTTTCTTTTTCACTTAGATTTATTGCCTCTTGAGATTTTCTTGACGGAACAGGAACTGAGAATGCTGAACTGTGTCTGGACTGCCTGCAACAAAAATGGACAGTCTGAGTTGGAGTCAGTTTGTTTCTATCTTTGACGATAGGATGATACTCATTCAAACGGCCCTTGAACTATTCTGATTCACGAGTAGTTTGGAAAAAATTGTCCGATCGAGATACAGAAACAAATCGCATCTCGATATCTCGTTTCTAACCTAAAATTTAGACCGAAGAAAATTTTAAACGGAAACTCCTTGAACTTTTATTTTTTCAAAGTAATTTTCATCAGATTAAAAGACCCTTTTTGGAAATATTACAAAAAATCGCTAAAAGGTAAATACACGAGTCTACCTTGTCGACATGAATCACAAACCACTCCAAAAGATAATGGTTATTTTTATGCGAAAAATGAAAGGGATAAACAATTAGAAGTTCTCAAAAACTACTTGACGAATCTACTCCAATTTTGTTGTGGTTATTTAGAAGTACGAATCCTACGAATTTGAAGAATTTTAAGTATCTGCGAAGAACCATCGTCGCATTAGCAGCAAGTGCCAAAACCTGTAGTTCGAGCATTTAAGGAGGTATTAAAAACCTTTTTTTTAAACGGGTTTTTTTAGGGCCGCAACTTGATAATAAAAAGAAGTTTCAGAAAAATTAGTTTAAGAAAATAAAAATTTAAGGGATTTCCGTATAAAATTTTCTTCCGTCTGAATTTTAGGTTAGGAACGAGATATCGAGATGCGGTTGTACAGGGTGACTTCGAAGTTGAGTCATTTATTTTAACAGTGAGTAGATCTGATCAAAAGAAATGTTTTTTTCCTTTACCATTTTTCTGGTAAAATTAAAGTAACAAAGTTATAGCCTTTGGAAGTTTGAGTACCGCCCTGTCTCAATAATAATATTATGTGCTCGTGTTTGGCGACAACGGATATAATCCGCCTTATCGGTTCATCGCATCGGAAACAAAAAAGCGAAAGAATTTGGAACGATGTTTTTACAATTATTTCATTCAGTTGTATACAGTTGTGTCAGTCGGTAGTGGATAGTGGTGTCTGTTGCGTGGCTCAAACGAAATAAAAAATGGCACATGTTTATGCGGATCGGTTTCCCAATCGAGTGCAACCAACCCCTCGTGCCTTTGTTAATGTAGTACAACGGGTTCGTGAATCAGGTGACTTAAGACCTCACATATGGACGGCATCCCGGTGCTCCAAGACCTCACGATCAAATACAGGTCCGCACTGAAATACTTGTCGGGAGGATACTTTATAAAACAAGGTAAATTTTTTTTTTTATTTTTACACACATATTTTGGTTTATCTTCCCTCTACAATCATTATCTGAAAATTAATGACTCAACTTCAAAGTTATGTCTGCACAAACACTGAAATCCATCATTACTTGAAATGCCTAGTCAGTCCCCGTATTGCCGGCAAACACCGTAAGAGTTTGATTATTACAACGTTTGACTAAACATTTCAGTTATTCCCTGTAATGACTGAACAGTTTCAGTCAAGCAGCGTAACAACCAAATTAACTTAGTTATTTCATTTGCCTGATTCAGTCATTCATTGTACCTGTTAAGGACATTAGGACAGTCATTCTAATAATAATAATATGTTTGTATGAACCTTTTTTCTATGTTTGTCCTGCTCTATGAATATTGCCATTGTGTTTAGAATCATCCTTTATAACCAAACGAACTTGCATCAGCTAAAATATGATAAACATTTTGCGACACATGGAATCCCAGACACTCGCAGTTTCTGAACCGAATGAGACATTACCTAACGCTTACCTAAAAATACCATTGAAATTGTCGTCCTCCTTCTTTATGTCATCCAGAGTCTCTTCACGTTTCGTTATTGTCTCATTAACGACGCTTTCTTTCTGTTCACTATTTTTCCTATCGTAGATATGCCCGGACACCCGTAGATCGATGAAAAAATGTAAGGGATCGATTCCATAAGGGGATGGCGGGTAAAGTGGAGGGTACCAGATTGGTGGAGCTGGGGGTAGTACCAAATTTTGAGGGGATGGATCGGAGTGGGACTGATGATGCGGCATATTTGACGAGACTAACTGTAAGAAAAAATACAGATAGGAAAAAACAATATTTAGTGAGGACAAAGTTTATGATCATCAATAATACAGGATGTAATTTAATTGATGACTAAAAATACAGGATACGATTCGTTAGCTCATTTTAGGAAGAAAAGTTTATATGAACAAATGTCCTAAACCTCTTAATTTTTGAGCTACAGGGTGTTAAAGCTTTAAAAAAATTCGTTTTCTTGTCACAACTTTAATACAGTTTTAAATATTTTCGTTAAATTTTATACGCACCTACTAGCACCGATAGGCATTTTTTGATGTAGAATATTTTCTTATATTTTTACCAGTGGCGTCCGTACGGGATGTATACTGGAGATCCCTCAAAAAATATGGTACGCAATCGCTTTTTCCAAAAATGAAGATTATTTTTGAAATCCTCATTTATTCTGCAACAATGACCTCATGACTTTTTTCGGTCCGATATAGCGTTTTCGCGTAAAAAATAAAAACCTAACTTAATCAATTCACTTTACTTGCATAAAAATTGAACCAAAACACATCTTACCTACAAACTACCAAGAGATTTTAGCGATTTTACAATGTATGAAAATTAAAAATCAAGATTGATAATGTCTCTGGATCAAATAAACTAATACTTGCGCTGCGCGTCGGGAGACAATACAACTTCAAATTAAAATCTAGTACTTTTTCCGTGTATCACACACAATTTTTTTGTGTGACAGGAAAAACGACGATTTAATATCGAAAAATTATATACTAAGTGACATATAAATCCGAACACCCAGTTTAAATTGTTTTATTTTAATAAAAGTTGGTGAATGTATTTATCTTACTGTAAATAACAAGCGAAAAAATTGTCAGCCTTATCAGTTGGACATTCCGGTTTTTATACTGCTTTTTTTTAATTCACTAACGCTCTAAAAATGACTATTTCAGCCGCAGTAAAGAATCAACGTTGGCGGATTTTGGTTCTTGACATCCTTTACGATCGGTTACGATGCCTAGAGTACGGAGACCTGTACGATTTCGTCAACTTAGTGAGTTTGATAGGGGCCGTATAGTGGGACTTCGGGAAGCTGGACTTTCTTTTCAGGCAATTGCAGTTAGAGTGCAAAGAAGTGGTAGACACTGTGGTTAGGTGTTGTCAGGCATGGCTTCGAGAAGGCCGTAGGCAAAGAGCAAGGTGCACTGGACGCCGCCGTAGAGCAACAGACCGTGAACATCGCCGCCTAAGATTATTGGCCTTAAGGGACCGTTTCTCCACTACCAGGTCCATTGAAAATGAATGGTCTGCAGAACACGGAAGACCTATTGGCATGCGAAGTGTTTACCGACGAATGAGAATTTTTTTCTTGTTTTCATACCGGCCACACTGGGTCCTCCCTTTAACTCGAGAACACCGACGTAATCGCCTTGAGTGGTGCAGACAACGGTCACTCTGGGATCAGGAATGGAACAGTATTGTCTTTAGTGACGAGTCTCGATTTTGTTTAGGCATGCACGATGGTCGTGCCAGGGTTAGAAGGCGACGTAGTGAAAGGAGGAATCCACAGTTTTTTGTTGAAGACATGTTCATCACACTGTTGGAGTTATGGTTTGGGGTGCTATAGCTTATGGTTCCAGGTCACCTTTAATCTTCATCAGAGGTAACATGAACGCGCAACGTTATATCCACGAAGTTCTAGAACCCCATCTTTTACCCTATCTTGACACCCTAGCAGATCCAACTTTCCAACCAGATAATGCCCGACCACATGTTGCAAGAGTCACAATAGACTTCTTTCAACATAATGATGTCACATTGTTACCATGGCCACCAAGATCTCCCGACTTATCCCCAATTGAGCACGTGTGGGATATGATGGGTAGGAGATTGCTCAATTTGCAACGTCCTCCTCAGACTCTAGAAGCACTTCGAGAGGAGTTGGTGGTTGCCTGGAATGAGATACCACAGGAGGGCATTGACCACCTGATCAGAAGCATGCCTAGGTGCTTATGCTTCATTAAGTACTTATACAAAATTTTATTAAAATAAAACCATTTAAACTGGGTGTTCGGATTTATATGTCACTTAGTATATTATGTATTACAATATTTAAGTCAGAAAATTGGCGATGCAAAATTTGAATTTTGAAATTAGTAGGCTATGTTGTACTTATAGCGACAATTAGACCTGCGTTGCTAAGGAAACTTTACGAAACCGCGTATTCAAGATTCAAGGAATGGAAGATGAAAAAACATGCAGTTCTTTGTTGGAAACGGTGTTATTGGCTTATTTTTCCGAATTGGCACAACAACAAAAGCCATCAACAGTGTGGTCGAATTATTCAATGATTAAAAGTATGTTACGATCCAATAATAAATGTAGACATTCCAAAATATTTCAAATTAATTACATTTTTGAAGTAAAATGGGAAAGATTACAAGCCCAAGAAAGCTGCGATTTTTACGAGTACACAAATTAGTGATTTTCTAAATAATGCTCCCGATGAAGTTTATTCAATGGTCAAGGTTGTTGTTGTATACTAAGTGACATATAAATCCGAACACCCAGTTTAAATGGTTTTATTTTAATAAAAGTAGGTGAATGTATTTATCTTACTGTAAATAACAAGTGAAAAAATGTTCAGCCTTATCAGTTGGACATTCCGGTTTTTATACTGCTTTTTTTTAATTCACTAACGCTCTAAAAATGAATATTTCAGCCGCAGTAAAGAATCAACGTTGGCGGATTTTGGTTCTTGACATCCTTTACGATCGGTTACGATGCCTAGAGTACGGAGACCTGTACGATTTCGTCAACTTGGTGAGTTTGATAGGGGCCGTATAGTGGGACTTCGGGAAGCTGGACTTTCTTTTCGGGCAATTGCAGTTAGAGTGCAAAGAAGTGTAGACACTGTGGTTAGGTGTTGTCAGGCATGGCTTCGAGAAGGCCGTACGCAAAGAGCAAGGGGCACTGGACGCCGCCGTAGAACAACAGACCGTGAAGATCGCCGCCTAAGATTATTGGCCTTAAGGGACCGTTTCTCCACTACCAGGTCCATTGCAAATGAATGGTTTGCAGAACACGGAAGACCTATTGGCATGCGAAGTGTTTACCGACGAATGAGAATTTTTTTCTTGTTTTCATACCGGCCACACTGGGTCCTCCCTTTAACTCGAGAACACCGACGTAATCACCTTGAGTGGTGCAGACAACGGTCACTCTGGGATCAGGAATGGAACAGTATTGTCTTTAGTGACGAGTCTCGATTTTGTTTAGGCATGCACGATGGTCGTGCCAGGGTTAGAAGGCGACGTGGTGAAAGGAGGAATCCACAGTTTTTTGTTGAAAGACATGTTCATCACACTGTTGAAGTTATGGTTTGGGGTGCTAAAATAAAACCATTTAAACTGGGTGTTCGGATTTATATGTCACTTAGTATATATCAATTAGGTTGTGGGTAAACACCAGTGTTATAAGGTTCCCGAAACAGTGGCTAAGCTTCTTCAACTTGAAAATGCTAACTCATATACAGGTCATTCATTGCGAAGATCGTCTGCTACACTGTTAGTTGAATCTGGGTGAGACTTGATGACACTAAACATGGCGGTTGGAAGTCATCAACGGTCGCTGAAGGGAACGTTGATGAATCGCTAGCACATAGGACAGAAATAGCTAATAAAGTGTTTAGAACGTGTGGTAATGCCGAAATACCACCAGATTTTCGACCATGTACATCAACGGGAGTTGTGATGGCAGAAAAACATAATTTCAACACAAGAAAATTCGACTGTCGTGCTGGATAGTTTAAGGAATGCACCCATGCACATTTAATAATTGTACTTTTGATATAAAGGAAATGTAACTTTATTGTATAATAAAATATTCTAAAATTAAATATCTACCTTTGCTTATGTGTTTATACAATATCCAGGAAAAAAGTACTCATTTTTTCCCGCGGAAAAAACTCATTTCAAAAAAAGTGACATTTTGTTACCTGTCAACAGAGATAAAATGCCAAACTTTTTCCCGTCACAGACAAATTTTTTTTACGCGAAATCGGTGCATCGGACGAAAAAAAGTCAAGACTCAAATTAGTTGCGAAATATCAAAAATATTTTTTCTTTTTTGAAAAAAGCTCACCATATTTTTTTCGAAAAAATATACCCCACGGACGCCACTGGTAGAAACATTGAAAAATAATCCACATCAAAAAGTGCCTATTGGTGCATATCAAATTTTATGAAAATATCTAGAATAAAGTTATGATAAACATTTTTTTCTTGAAAATCTAACACCCTGTAGCTCAAAAGTTAAGAGGTTTAGGACATATGTTCTTAAGCTTTTCTTCCTAAAACAAACTAAGGAATCATATCCTGTATTTTAAGCCATCAAGATTTGCCATAAAAAAATTCACTTTTATACATATTGTTAATGAAAGCAGATTATAATTAAAACAGCTTACTAACTTTTGTAATATAAAAGGATATTAGTAATTTATTTTTTGAAAGTTGCTTTTGAAATTGGCGCTATTTCTTGACGAATGTTTTGCTTAGATTCGTTGAAGGTTTTTGGATCATTATTGAGGCTCTGCTCTTGAGATATCCCCATAAAAAAAAATCGAGAGGGGACAAGTCAGGGTTTCACTTATTACATTTTTGTATATCTTCAATACCTGATGCTCGGAAGGTAAGCGGCTCTCCGTCTTGGGCTGCTGGTACCCTAAGCCACTCATCCCATGTTCCAAAGGCTTTGATTTGTCTGAACGTCCTGTATTAGTTGTTGCGGCATCTAAATTCTCTTCCTGTATCTTTTTATTGCTTTTCAACATCCATTCGTCCGCGTCTGCCGGTTTAGTTTCACTTGTCGGCTCAATCAACGTAGGTTTTTGGTGATAGGTTGGCGCGACCCCCCAATGTCTTTTCCTTGCTCTTCGAACCTACGGTAGGATTTAAGAGATGGTACACCGAAAGAGAAAACATTCTATACGTATATCCATACTCAAACATGGGGCAAAAACTTAAATTTGATTTTCGTCGATTTTCGAAATACCGCTTTGTTTTTGGAGATCCAGGCCTCTAAAGGACGGTTCTTTTGAATAATTTTTGAACTGCACCCAAGGCCGAGGTATTTCAAGATGTCTAGCGCTCGTAAGAAACTTCAGGATGAGAAAAATCAAGTTTTATCAGCCTGAAATTTCTTAGAATTCAAAAAGAAGACATAACCTCAAAATAGGGCGCTGACATGAAACAGTAGAAATCTAGAACTGCCTTTCTGAAGGATAGGAAAAACTATGAAAATCAAGGAGGCCATAAAGGCGTCCTACAATTGTAGGAACGACTGACGAAACGGCCCTGATACATGCCCGGTTAAGTAAACAATCATGCTACCTTCGCTGAGTGAAAAATAAAGGTCTTTTTAATCATTAGTATTATATGAACGCTTAATTGCAAATTTAATAATGAAAATTGCTGCGCTACTCAGAAACACTTTCCACTATCAAAACCTACTTAACACGAAGTGTTCGAGCGCTCCACTACGGCGTGGTAGATACCTAAGCTACTATTTACTCTTGCCAATAGCGGAGTTTCAGCGAATGCAGAGCCACTAAGATCAAGGATCCGCTTTAAGGGAGGATCCCGGCTCAAGACACCTTCTTCTAATAATGGATCAATGGCAATATTTTTTGAAAGCTTGATCGGTTATCTGAAAAAAATGATTGATGATGGGTTTCGATATTTCAATACAGTTTTACCTCAAAAAAATGTATTATTGTTTCATTTCAACAAAACGAAATACCTGCTGCCATCTAGACTACTTCCATTGACGTTCACGGCTCTGCCTGGAAAACGCTGGAATGCTTCTCGTCTTGTCGATAGGGAAATAAATACCCGACTGGATGGCAGAAGAGTGAGTCACCGTCGAATCGACAGCGGGCGATGACTGACCATACGGCGCGGTAACCGTAGTGCAGTCAACATGGTTATGAATTGTGATTAATTATTACGAGTGTTATAAATTAGTGTGGCAGTAATAAGTTAGATTTGAACAGTAAAACAGTGCTTTCGTTACAATACATAGTGTAATAAACTCAGTAATATTGCATCAGGGCCGAACTAAATTATTTTACATGTCAAAGGTTATCAAAATTTGACTGGATTGTACGGTGTGGTTCAGAAGTTTCTTAAGAAAATCCGATTTTCAACCCTTTAGAGTCCGTAGTTCGGAAACAAAGCGGAATTTCAAAAATCACCGGAGGGAAAGATTGTACAAAAGTCATTCCTTGATTTTTTGGAAACACACTGTTACTATCTTCCTTACGATCCATCTAAACGTAGGTGCCGAGTTTTTCTATGAAAGACTCACCTGTGGATGAGCAGCACTATGAGCAGCATTTCTTTCAGCTTTTGCTTGGACTAGCGATCTTAACATCTCACTGAAGAAGTAAGTATTTGGTAACAGTGACATATTGTAGAGGTACGGTGGTGTAGCAGCTAGAAGTCTAGACACCAAATCTGTGTTCCTGAATTCCAGTGGTGACAGTTTTGGTTTTGGCGGCGGTGGTAGATGCTCGTTTGCCGAAGACATCTGAAATAAAAAAAATCGATATAATTTTTTCTAAATAGGGACAATTTTAGTTACTTATGACCGTGTTAAAAGTTTATTCCTTAGAGCCAGAAAAACTATATTTTACCATTTTTAGAACCCCCACAAATCTAAACCAATTGATTACTTGACTAGTAAGTCATCCTAAAAAAAATTTTGGACAAAGTAAGTATACTAAGTGACATATAAATCCGAACACCCAGTTTAAGTGGTTTTATTTTAATAAAAGTTGGTGAATGTATTTATCTTACTGTAAATAACAAGTGAACAAATTTTCAGCCTTATCGGTTGGACATTCCGGTTTTTATACTGTTTTTTTTTAATTCACTAACGCTCTAAAAATGAATATTTCAGCCGCAGTGAAGAATCAACATTGGCGGATTTTGGTTCTTGACATCCTTTACGATCGGTTACGATGCCGAAAGTACGGAGACCTGTACGATTTCGTCAACTTAGTGAGTTTGATAGGGGCCGTATAGTGGGACTTCGGGAAGCTGGACTTTCTTTTCGGGCAATTGCAGTTAGAGTGCAAAGAAGTGTAGACACTGTGGTTAGGTGTTGTCAGGCATGGCTTCGAGAAGGCCGTACGCAAAGAGCAAGGGGCACTGGACGCCGCCGTAGAACAACAGACCGTGAAGATCGCCGCCTAAGATTATTGGCCTTAAGGGACCGTTTCTCCACTACCAGGTCCATTGAAAATGAATGGTCTGCAGAACACGGAAGACCTATTGGCATGCGAAGTGTTTACCGACGAATGAGAAGTTTTGGCTTGTTTTCATACCGGCCACACTGGGTCCTCCCTTTAACTCGAGAACACCGACGTAATCGCCTTGAGTGGTGCAGACAACGGTCACTCTGGGATCAGGAATGGAACAGTATTGTCTTTAGTGACGAGTCTCGATTTTGTTTAGGCATGCACGATGGTCGTGCCAGGGTTAGAAGGCGACGTAGTGAAAGGAGGAATCCACAGTTTTTTGTTGAAGACATGTTCATCACACTGTTGGAGTTATGGTTTGGGGTGCTATAGCTTATGGTTCCAGGTCACCTTTAATCTTCATCAGAGGTAACATGAACGCGCAGCGTTATATCCACAAAGTTCTAGAACCCCATCTTTTACCCTATCTTGACACCCTGGCAGATCCAACTTTCCAACAAGATAATACCCTACCACATGTTGCAAGAGTCACAATAGACTTCTTTCAACATAATGATGTCACATTGTTACCATGGCCACCAAGATCTCCCGACTTATCCCCAATTGAGCACGTGTGGGATATGATGGGTAGGAGATTGCTCAATTTGCAACGTCCTCCTCAGACTCTAGAAGCACTTCGAGAGGAGTTGGTGGTTGCCTGGAATGAGATACCACAGGAGGACATTGACTACCTGATCAGAAGCATGCCTAGGCGCGTTCGAGAATGCGTAGCACATCAGGGTGCATCCACACATTATCAAAGGTCAAAGGGCTTTAAAGCAGTGTAATCATTTTGAAATTTTTATCATTTACTTATTATGCTTCATTAAGTACTTATACAAAATTTTATTAAAATAAAACCATTTAAACTGGGTGTTCGGATTTATATGTCACTTAGTATAGCTTATTCTGAACCTTTTACGTACCGCGCATGAGCAAGGTAAGTACTGTGATCGCAAAATCCTTCAAATGTCAGATAACGGATTTTTTGTATTTCATGAAAATGAAAATCCCCGTTTTCCCCAGTTTGTCGGTCTGTTTTTGTATGGGTTTGTCTATTGGCATGTATGATGACCTGCTGGTGCTTTTGTAACCGCGTACTCTCAGAAACAACTGCACCGATTTTGATGAAATTTGGAGAGCATTGTGGATAAATAGAAAAAGGTAATCCAAATGTGTGTTGCATGTTTTTCAACTTCCTTCAAGTAGTGAAAATAATTGGGCAAGCAAAATGATGAGTTTCATTTTGGGCGGCCATTTTTTTTAATTGCGCGTGCCTCATTTTTTCACCCCTGCCGTCTAATTTTTTACCTCCAAAACATTGTTCAAAAATGACCACGCTCCTCTACGTTTGAGCGATTTTTATTTTTTCGTTTACAACGCGGAAGTGTAATAAATATTGGCTATGCTTCAAAACATCGTAAAAGACACTCTATCAAATGTACAACAAAATGAGCGTCGACGTCGGTCGTAACATTTTAAAATCAAGAAGGGTGGATTATTTACACCGCTTCAAGGAAAGTTTCTTACGAAAGCTTTCCCGGAATATTTACTCGACTGCTAATTTCTCAGCCGAAACTTTGTGAATTGATGCTAAGTTATGAAAATTTATCGTCGAAAAGTTTGAAATGTAAACGATTTCAGACGTCTTGAGGATGCTTTCGGATGATATTAACGGATGAAAGGCATTTGCGCATAGACGTACTTAAGCAATGAACAAGGGAGTGTTTCAAAGATGTCTTGACTTGTTTTTATTTCCATGGGAGAAATCGCCATTTTTATATTGTTAACTCCATCGTGGACGTCCCCTCAATGCCCAAGTGACGTCGATTCAAAAGGTTCCCCACAGAACCTTCTTATATAACCCCACTGTAGAGAAGAAAGAAGCCGTCGCCGAGCTCAGAAACAAATATAACCAAGCGGTTCGCAATGTAATGAACCAGCACGATATAGAAGTAATGACGCAGCGCAATGACAGTCGGTCGTTCTGGACGCTGGCCAAGCAGATTGAAATGAACTTCTCACAAAGTAGCCTTCCACCACCTACGTGCCAGGATGGAGCGATTTTAACCAACTCAAACGCTGAAGCGGAAGCGCTTGCCAAGATCTTTGCTGCCAACTCCACCAGGGACGTCCCCCCAACGCCCAAGTATTTGACGAATCCGGCACTTTCTCAGAAAACTGGAAATTTGCTCTTGTCCAACTCATCAGAAAATAAGGATCTAAGGCTGACCGTTACGTCTACAGACCCACAGCAATGCTTTCTGTTATAAGTAAGGCGATGAAGAGAGCTTCTAGAGTACCTGGAACGTCACGACCTGCTTAGCGTCAGGCAGTATGGTTTCCCGCACCAGCGATCCACAGTGGATCTCCTAGCATACCTCACGCAATTATGGAGTCAGCTCAACCAGTCTCACCAAAGCATTCGAGCAGCTGTGCAAATTTCCAACCGATGGCCTCCCAGAGAAGCTTTGCAGTGGGGACTTCCTCTCTGGCCGCAAGACATCGGTCGTAATTGACGGGTTCTCCGGAACTAGAAACCCAGGATGGTACGGCCTGGACTATGCAACGAAATTGTCGTCGTCAGCGCACCACTATTCCCACACTTCACGGCCAACGCGGCTTGGCCTATTCCAGTGAAGAAAAAGCCAAAGCTTTCGCGGATTTGCTAGAATCCGAATGCAGACTCAATTACCATGAAGACGAGGACGACAACCACGAGGAGGCCGTGGACGTCGCAGCCGAAATCATGAGGAGTCGACCACCTGGCCAGGAGATGGATCACCCCTCCAGTCCAGAGGAAATCCGCCTGATCATCCGCAGGTTGAAGGTCAGAAAGGCGTCGGGAAAGGATGGCATCAACAACAGGATGCTGAAGAACCTTCCCTCCAAAGGCATTGCTGCGCGCACCAACATCGCCAATGCCACTCTGAGACTTAACCACTTCCCGGGGCGGTGGCGGGAAGCCCAGGTTATAATGTTCACCAAGCCAGGTAAGAACCGGAAGTTGCCTCAGAACTACCGGCCCATCAGCCTAGTTTTCTCGATGGGCAAAGTAGTCGAAGAGGCTATCGCCGTTCGACTAGAGAAGCAGGCAGAAGAACTGGAACTTCTCCCCCCAGAGCAATTCGGCTTCAGATCCTCCCACAACACGGAACTCCAAGAGCTACGACTGACAGAAAACATCACCAGCGGCTTCAATCTCCAAGAGGCAACCGGCCTCGTCCTGCTGGACGGGGAACGAGCCTTCGACCGAGGTTGCCATGATGGACTCATCGCCAAAATGGGAGCCGCCGGAATCGACGCAAACATGTGCCAACTGATCCAGAGCTATCTAACACAAAGATGGTTCACGGTGAAGAGGGTACATGCCACTCGACAAGAAGACAGCTGGAAGCAGGCGTAACCCAGGGGTCAGCCCTAGCCCCCCTGCTCTACAACATCTACCCACACGACGTACCGAAGACCAGCAGAAACAATGCTGGCCAGCCTGCATATAGATGCAGACGACACTGCTATAGCCGCCAAGCATCGACGACCCTAGATCGTCCGTAGGAGACTACAGGATGAACTGGACCACATCCAGGACTGGTGCGTGAAATGGAAAATCCGCATCAACGTCCAGAAGACGCAGGCAATCTTCATCCAACGAAGAAGGATTGCAAGACCTGCCGAAGCATCTATCTTCGACGAAAATATCCAGTGGAGCGACAAAGTCAAATATCTGGGGATCATATTTGACAAGTCCCTCACCTAGAAAGATCACATAGAAGCTGTTATCGCAAAGACCAGAGCAGCCATGGCCCAACTCTACCCATTACTGCGTAGACACAGCCGGATGCCGCTAGCGACCAAGTTACGGCTGATCAAGGCCATCGCCAGACCTCAGCTCGTTTACGCCTCCGCGGTCTGGGGGTACGCTGCTCCCAACTACCGCAAGCGACTTGCTGCTCTTGAGATGGAGCTACTCCGGATCGCCACCAGTGCATCATCCTACGTAAGAAACTCAACCTTGCGTAGAGATCTGCATTGTGTCACCATTCACGAGTACATGAGGAAAAAAGCAGAGAAGATCTTCCAGAAAGCTCAGGACCACCCGAACAAGCAGCTACGACTCCTCATGGACTACGATCCGGACGAGAAGACTCGCAACCGCAGAGCCAAGTACCCTAGACCCAAGTCACAATTGGCAGGCGCTAACTGGAACCTTGACTAGGAGTAACCGCGGTTGCTCACCCCCCCCCTCACGGCGTGGAAGCAGAGGACGAGGACCAGGACGACCAGGACC